TAGGAGCAAATTACTGCAGATGTATTGAAAACAAGAAATGTTGGAGATCACAGTGGGTCAGGCAGCATCCATGGAGAGAGAGCAAGCTAACGTTTCGAATCTAGATGACTCTTCATTAGAACTGAAGTGAAGTGTGGAGGGGACAGCATTTATGCTATATTTGGCGGGAGGGGTGTGGGGGTGTATAGAATGCTGTGGAGAAAAGATGTGGATAGTTCAGATTAAGTGATCGGAATGTGAGAATGGCAGAACAATGGTGTGTTTAACTGCCAGACTGGAAAGAACAGACAGTCCCACTGTGGTGGGGGGATGGGAGAGTGGACATGGTGACAGAGAATGTAACTAGTAAAGCACTAGCAATTGCAGATCATTCTTACAAACTGCAAACCTCCTGCAGAGACAGTAAGAACTGCCGACGCTGGAGTCTGAGATAACACTGTGGAGCTGGAGGAACACAGCAGGCCGGGCAGCATCAGAGGAACAGGAAAACTGATGTTTCGGGTCGGGACCCTTCTTCAGAAACTGCAAGCCTCCTGAAGCTGCCCAAACAGTGAATGTAGCTGGTACCAGACAGGTCTTGATAGAAAACCTGATTTAAGATAGGCCTTGGGTCTTGAACTCTCTGAATTTGCCACCAAGCGAACATCCTTTCTGACAATTCACCTTTTTCTTACAATCTGAGTTAGGAACTAGTAACATTGAAAGGGAAATCCGAACACCACCTCATTTTGACCATTTGAACTAAATTTCACAAAGATCACAAGATTTTTGCATATCGTTGCATATATAGGAAAAATTAAACAAGCAGATGCAATCAATACTGTAGCTTATAACTGTATTATGTTCTCAAGTTCACTCCTGTTTCCCCTAAGAATTCTCTTCAGATTCATTTGTTCTGAAGTTGTTTACTTCTGTAGGAATTACTCATAAGTATGTCACAGTCCTCTGGAGAATTCTCCTCAGCTCCCGTTATTCTCAGAGGTAAAACTTAAATTTACCGTCTTTTGAATAGGAATGCCTCAGTCACCTGTGCTAATTATTCTTCAGTACTTTCAACTAACCTGCTTGTTGAATTCTTTACCATAAGACTTGTAGGGGCTACTGTAGATTCTTCCACTGGTCTCAAATAAAGCAATCTTCCAGCTCTTGTTTCCTCATAAAGTTCAAATGAAATTAAGTTTGGCCGACATTCTATGCCTTGATTGAGGACATTGGGTTTCTACTCTTACAGCACAGGCCTGACTAACTGTGATTTACTTTGGCTATCTTCCTTCAGTTAGCTGCAAACTACATAAGGTCCAAGACTGCAATTCAGCAAACACTCAGTTAAATTGAAACAAGAGAACTTCCTTCATGCTCCACCTATCTCCTCAACAACATGATCTGCTTTGAGCTGTCCTCAAACCCACCATTACATTAATCATCTGTCATTTACAATTTATTTGTTTTGGGGTCTGGTGAAGTAAAGGAGTTTAACAGTATTTCACGATGCACTGCATGCTTTTAAACTAATTCAGCTTTGAACTTCCAAAATGTAAATGTCCCTGGATTGCCTTTTCTTTATTGGCATTTATTTAGCGTTGCTGGTTGCATTGGTGGTAAGCTGCCTTCTGAAGCTTCTATTTTCAATTTACTGTAGATGGACGCACAGTTCTATTAGGGAGGGAATTCCAGGGTTTTGAACCAGCAACAATGAAGAAACAATGATATAATCCAATGTCAGGATAGTGAGTGGCTTGGAAGAGGATTTGCAGCTGGTGATGTTTCCATGTGACTGCTGCTTTTCTAGATGGAAGTAGCCACTGCTCAGAAGGTGATGCTTATGAACCTCAGTGAGTTTATGCTGTGTATCTAGTAGATGATTCACCACTGCTGCTCCTGGATGTGCTGGGTGTGGAGGGAGTGAATGTTTGTGGATGTGATGCCAACCTGCTCTGTCTTGGATGGTTTCTTGAATGTTGTTCAAGCTGCTCTCTTCCAAACAGGTGGGGAGTATTAGTCCTAATTTGTAAGTTTAGTTTCATGCTGAGCAATGATCATGCCCAACAAGAGAGTATATAACTACCAAAGTGTATGAAAATTGAACTTTAGTTAGGCCACATTTGAAATATTGTGTACAGTTCTGGTTGCCACACCATCGAAAGGATGCGGAAGCTTTGGAAAGGGTACAGAAACGGTTTACTGGAATGTTGCCTGGCTTGGAGGGTATAGGTATGAGGAGAGATTGAACAAACTTGGTTGGTTTTCACTTAATCATCAGAGGCTGGTAGAAATATACAAAATTATGAGAGGCAGGAGAATTGCTTACCCATGTTCGACCTGATACATTGAGAATATATTGACAGTAATGTTGAGGACTGCCAGGGCAACTCCCCCTCAACAGTTTACCACTGTGTCACTACCTCTACTGTGTCTGCCTGCCAGTAGAACAGGATGTCCCCAAGAATAATGATGGTGTTACAGGATCACTGTAAGCTGTGATTCCATGAATATGACTACATTAGGCCATTGCTTGGCTACGCTGTGTGACAACTCTTCCAACTTTGGCAACCAACCCCCCCCCCCAGCACCCACCATTGCCAAAACATCTCAGATAGCTTTATGAAACTAGTATAGAAACTAACTTTCAATTAAAGGTATTATTAATTGAATTTAAATTGTATCTGCTATTTGAATTCATGTCTCAAGTGTATTCACCCATGCTTCTGGATTACATGTGCACTGGGACATTACAACTACACCACTGTCTTTCCCTTGCTGAGTAATCTTCAAGTAGAATTGGACCAAGTGTGCATCAATTCGACTTTTTTTTAAAATAGAAGGACTTCTCTTGCAGCATTTACGCTGTACATAAGTTATTCTATAACCTCCTGTAAGGCTAATGTTAGTGAGGGAAAGTCATTGGGAAGATAGTTAGCAGTTTTTAAAGAATAGAATTAGATGAACAGCTACAGTGGCGTGAATGAAGAGTGGCTGCAAGACCGAGCATTTTACTGAAGTTACACAAACTGCAGCAACAATGTACATTGAGTTTCTACCTTTTGAATTAAACCGTCCAACAAGAGTGAGATCAAATAAAAGTCGACACTGCACCAACATGAACTATTTGGACAGTTGACAAAGTACTTGAACAAAGTGGTAGGTTTTAAGAAGAGAGAAGGGTGATAGGTTTTAAAGAGGAGAGAAAGGTGAAGAGATTTTGGGATGGAATTCTACCACTTTTTTTGCAGTAATTGAAAATGTTAGTAATCCTCAGTAGCAAGAATGGGAGACAGTTTGTGGAATAACTACAGTGATCTCATGACATTGTGTCAAGAGCGCAAGGTCACGTTTGTAGTTTTTGGCTCAGACAGAATTATGCTTGGTTTATAATGACAGTCTTGATAGACTGCCAACCTCTTTGTTCAGACTCTCAGATTGAATAACATTTAGGAGAGGCACTGGGAGGGACACAGAATGGGTAGAACTATTGCCCAGTATAAATTTCAGGAGAAGAGGAGAGAGAATTAGCAAAAACAAATGATTCAAACTAAAATATCCTGAATCTAAACTTTGTTAAAAAAATAATTTGACTCAAGTCAGACTTAGGATGGAAGGCCTATTCTATGAAGAAAGTTGGACCCCAGGTTAGGCCAATAGACATCGGAGCTTAAGTTGAATGAGACATGACCTATTGAAATGTAGAAGATACTGAAGGTACTTAATATGGAGGATACCAGATGGATGTTTCTTCTTGTGGACAAGACTAAAAGGGAGACATAGATCAGTAATAAGAGGTCTCCCTTTTAAGACAGGGGTTGAATAATAAAGAAAAGCATGGAATGTGTAAATATTATTTAACTAAGCAAGTCTATTCCTCACATAGACCATGTGCCATCGACCGGGTAATCTAATCTATTATAAGGACTCTTGTGATGTTGTCCCTGCCTCAGTGCCAGGTAGATAGGGTTTGAGTTCAAATCCCACCTGCTCTAGAGGTATGTAATAATATATCTGAGCAAGTTAATTAAACATATCAATCCAGTCCATTAAAACTCCTGAAGAATTCTTTTTAAAATGTTTCCCAAAGGCAAATCCAGAATAGTTATCTAACTTTGCAATATTTATTTTAACCACTGGATTGCCAAGATGTGTATAATGTTCAACTGTCAGCAAATATCATACATCTTGAAGCATTCGATAGGAAACAATTCTTTATCAAGAAAATGGTGAGAATGTGGAACTAAAACAATTGACTTAGCTTGAGCTTGTGTTTTTAAAGGGAAGCCAGAGAAGTAGGCGAGTTAGAAAGGGATAGAAAGATGAAAGAATAAGAAAAAGCAGAGTGGGAGAAAGCATAAAAAAGCACAAGCAAAATTAATTAGGCTGGTGCATACTGTAAACTGTTGTAAAACATTTGATCATCTGCCTAAAAATCTTCCAAAACAGTCACATGGGAATTGTCATTGTAACAATTATTTTTTAAATAAGGAAATTGTTTAGATTCAACAATATTCTTGTTCTCTTACAGATATTGCACCCACATACTATGTGCTACATATATGGTACATGTTCTAACTGTACTTGATGCTTCTCTTTTTTTCTGTATTGCCAACAAAATGTACATTGAAGGTAGAATAAGTGTTTTATCACAATGCTGGAGAAATGGCTAACAACTGACTTGCAGCTGACATTTTGAGCCATTTAGTCGTGGATTTGGATAATTATTCACTCTCTATTCCTTGTTATGTATCCTCTGCCTTTTATTAAGAATTGATATTCTTCTAAAGATATGCAAAAACTGTCAACATAAACCAAAATTCATACATTTTTCACTTAGTAATGTTCATATTGATTAAGATATATAGATGCAATTTGCTGGAAATCTGTGGGAGTTCTTATTCTAATTTTAGTAGTTCATAAAGTAAGCACTTACATGTATTTTGAAATTCTGTTGCGTATTAAAGAAAGAAAATTAAAGTTACAGAATTTGACTTATTTTTTCCTTCTCTCTCCAATAGATACGGTAAGAGAGATAGTCCGGAAGCTTTGTCAGATTCCCTCTTTGATGATAGCAGGGATCACATTGGGAGGTCAAGGTAAATGTAGTTTGGAGAAGTGTTTCTCATGTTTGGTGCTCGGTGTCCTACAGGGAAATGATAGCAACTTTTATTTGCATGCAGACGCATGCTGATCTACTCCATAATTAATGTAAAACCTGCAAAGATGATTCATTATCTTTTTGTTTCTAACTTATTCATCAATTCAATAGTACACGATTTTTCTTTTAAACTGGAGAAATTCTTTTCACTTGGAGAATAACCTAAAAAGACAAAAATTATCACAGTAGTAAAGTAAAACATTCTGATATTGTTATATGTTGACTGTGATGGTCAGGACAGGAATATTAAGATGATATAAAAGGTGTTTAATGTTGTGAAGATTATGATAGTTCTGATGATTGTGAATATTTTCGAAACTAGAAAAGGTTGACAAAAAATTAATAAACAAGAAGAAATCAAAATTTGAGAATAAATCACCAAGAAATGTAAAAGAAAAAGTAGCTGAAGTAAACACTGACCCCTTAGAGAATGAGAATGGGGAATTAATAATATGAATCAAGAAAATAGCAGGGACTTTGAACAAGAATTTTGTGTCTGTTTTCATGGAATAAAAGTATCCCAATATTACTAGAAAATCAAGGAGCAAACTGGAGGGGAAAGTATCAAAATGAGACTAAAGAGCAATAATTCCCCTTGCCCTGGAAGCCTAAATCAAATGATTTTAAAAGAAATGGCTGCAGAGAAAGTGGATCCATTAGTTGTAATCTTCCAAAATTGTCAGAGCTTCTAAAAAGGTGCCTGTAGATCAGAAAATAGAAAGTGTGCTGCTCTTCTTAAAGGAGCGAGGGAGACAGCAACAGGAAACTATAGGCCATTTCACTCCAACATCAGTCATTGAGAAAAATGTTGGAATCCAATCAAATTAAGTAGTGGCTGAATGGAGTTTGTGATCCTATCATATAACACCATTAAAGGGAGCCTTTTACACATGTGCAGAGGGGCCCAGATAATCTTAATTCAAAGCTGCTAGCACAACATCCCAGAAAACTTTCAGCAAAATGTAACACAACCTCAGTAGTTATTTGTACAGATTCAGGCCTCATAGTCATAAAATTGTTTGCTTGTAAGCCTTCTAACCTACCATACCTCAGCATCCACTTCACAGGAAGGTAGAGACCTTTCAGTTTCTAGATTAACCCTGATTAGATTACATTCTAGCTCTTTACAAATGTGGAAACATTGCTGACTGAGAAACAGTCAGGATTTTAATTTGGTTTTCCTTCCTCACATCCTGGTAGAGACAAAAAGGGTGGCTCAGTAGTAAGCACTGTTGCCTCATAGCGCCAATGACCCGGGTTCGATTCCATCCTCGGACAACTGTGTCTGTGTGGGTTTCCTCCCAGCGTCCAAAGATGTGCACGTTTAGGTGGATTGTTCATGCTAAATTGCCTTATAATATCAGGGGATGTGCAGGCTAGGTGGATTAGCCATGGGAAATGTGGGGCTACAAGGATGGTGTGGAGAGTTGGGTCTGGGTCGGACGCTGTTCAGAAGGTCGAGGTGGTCTCAATGGGCCAAATGGCCTGCTTCCACAGTGTAGGGATTGTATGAATCAGACATCCAAGTGCAATTTTCAGAGACAATTGCATTTGAATGATATAATATTAACGACTAGAGGGCTCCAATCTCTCAGTCCGGTGGATTAAAACATTTGTGATCGGAATATTGAACATTGCAAGAGCTGCTGCTGCATTTCTGCCCTGTGAAATATATTGGCAGTGCCATCTTTATTAAAGGCAGCTGCAGCATTGTTACATTGTCACGATGTCGCCCTGTAGCACTGTCATTCTGCATGTGTGCATCATTTCTCCACCTAGTAGGGGTGTTGGCCTTAAAATTCCCATTGAGAAAATCATCGTAAAATCAAGCGTTGTTTTATGAAAGCGAATTATATTTGACAAATTTATTGGAATTTGTTGAGACAAGCAGATGCATAAACGTGAACCAGATAAGGTGTCATGTGGACCAGTGCTGTGGTCTCAACTATTTACTGTAAATTATTTGAACAAAGGCACAAAGTCTATTATAATCAAATATTCTGCCAAGACAAAGCTGGATAGGAAAGCAAGCAGGGAGGAGGGCACAAAGAGCTGGATTTACATGTGTCTGCTGGGTGTTTCTTTGGCTGGGGATGCAAGGAAAATGTGTTGCATGGTCACCCCACCCAACTTCAAGTTCATCTCTGCCCCACCCCTCCATAATATGGAGGGTTGGCAGCTGCAAAATTTATTAACCTGCCCACCAAATGCAAATAAACAATTGGTGGTCAGCCAAGGTTGTTAATAGAGAAAACTGTTTGGACTGTACGATTCAGATCCAACACGCACTTAATAATGTAATTGGACCCAAATTGGCAAAAATGCATGAGGCTTCTGTCTGCAGCTCCAGTTTGTATCAGATATGGGAGGAATTTCATGAAGTTTAAACAACATCATTGTGTTTAACTGTCCACTCTTTTCATCTTCTGCTGTGATTAAGATTAAAATCAACCTGTTTTTAACTAAGTTTTTTGTACAATAATAAAACCCAACCTTCCTGAAAACAGGGTGTCAGTAATAGTTGCCAAATTAATGTTTGCTAAGATAGCTTTTCAAAACTTTGTCTCTGTGACGTAGGGAAAGATTTGAAGGGCTGGAGGTGGAAGAACACATGCATTATTCTTCCTCCCAAGACAGTGTGCAGTGTCTTTCTGTTGAGTTCAACAAAGCTCAAAATAGCTGTTGTTGATTAACCAATAAAGTAGAACATTGTAAGGTCCATTAGGTTGACAATGATTCACCTATGAGTAATGATATCAAAAGCTGCAAATTGTACAAATTTATATTATAATTCATTTACTGGCCCCACCATTCAAGACCTCATTTCTATATCATATTACGTTAGTATAATTGAGATGCTGTCTCTTTCTAAGTTGCTGTTTGCTGATCAGTTTTTGTGGGTGGAACTTAATACCTCCACCCCCTTCCTCCAATATCGCCTTGCCAGGGGAATTGAGGTGGTGGATGGGCCACTGTTTAGTTGGGAAAATATGGGTTGGAGATCCAACCACCTTCCCGCCTCCCTTCGATTAACTCCAGGATGGGAAGACTTGCGGATGTCTCTCCCGCCCGAGCCCTGGCAAGGATCGTAAGTGGCCTCGTAACCGTGGGTGAAATCCCTGACATATTAAACCTTGGCCAGTGTTTCAAAATTCAGATTTCAATCAGTTTAAACTTTAAATGACACCAGTAACCATTACTGATTATTACAGCTTCAAGAGATTCACACAGCTTAAAAAGATCACTCTGTCTTAGATCTGATAAACAAATTTGCTAATTGAAATGAAGCTCAATTAGGACTCACCCAGTTTCATGTATCTGTATTAATTTAACTGTTCATTTGACATAATCACATTTTTGATGATCAATATGTGGACTAAACTGAAAGAAACTTGAATCTCAACCCATTTTAAGATTAAAGCATAAGATTTTAAATCTAACTTCATCACTGTATATTTGTATGCCAAATGAGCACAGTTAATTATTTTTTGCTCATTTTGTAAAGTTACTTTCTAACCCTATCTCAGCTCTTGATTATTCAGCTTTCCAGAATCCAGTTTCTATTCTCATTTATTATCTCCTCTGATTCCTTTTCTTCATTTTACACTTGATTTCTAACCTCTTATGAATTGCTAGTTTGATGGGCTAACAGAGCTCTGAAATAATGGACACTGCTATATTTTATCAAAATAATTGAAGAAGCAAAAGGTCAACTTCCAGGAAAATGTTGTGAATAAAAGGATATGCTCTGGGTAAAAAGTGTTGAATAAATGACAAATAAATCGAGGAATAATGGCTGGGTGATATAAAGAGTTCCTTGAGGTATTGAGAATGAATGAAAGTTAGCTGGATGAGTCATGATTCAAACACAGTGAAGCTCCAAAGAACAGGTAGTTCGTGGAAAATGGCATAATAGGAGTTTGTATAGGCAATCATATTTACCTCAAGATGAAATGAAACATACCTAATTAAGATATTTTAAATTGATACCTTTTTCAACTAGACAAGTGTTTAAGACAAGGTCTGATTGCTTTTGGGCTTACATGCTCTTCTCGTGTAACTGATCCATAAAGTCAAATGAAGTGGCATTCAAAATATAAAAACATGTCAGTGGTATGCATGCTAATAACATTTTGTTAGACTGTTTTCCAGTAATTCTCATGATAATTGGTGTTATTACTTATGCTTACTGTGTAATTTGGCAGTAATATCAAATTTGCATTCATAAAATTGTTTTCTCAATAATGAACAAGATCAAGTTAATCCATATGCCAGACAAAAATCCTGCATAGTCTTGAAAATCTCACAGTGCATTTTAGTAACAAACCAATTTTGCTTTTCTTAGTTTCCCCCATTTTCGTAAAAAAAAAATCAGATATTAACCTGTACTTAATGTATAATAAAATCTAATACAATTATTTTTATCAGCTTCATTATCACTTTCCACAGATACGATGATTCTTTGATGTGGTGATCCTCTGTCTTTGTACCTTGTCTACCTTTTGTGTCTTTGCGTTTTAATTATGGTGCAGAAGGACCTGACTTCTAAAGAATTATGTGAAGACTACACCAAACCAAAAGGATCACTGCATGCAAACCTTTTTCATGCATTGAGGAACCATTGAAGCTTTTTATGTGGCAGACAATTGTACATAATTTATTGTTAAATATAATATATGGCAATCAAGAATCAAAATGTGGGGTCTTTCTGAGAAAAAAATCTTCTGTTTGTATTGTAAAAATGTTTATGTGCAATTAAAGTTCGATGGATGAATCAACTTTGCAACTGTGCTTCTGTGAACTTAAATATTTATTTCCTGGGGAGTGGTGACTACTGAATATAGAAAGATCTGGCATTTGTATGGTGCCCTTCATGATTTCAGAACTTTCTTATGTGCCTCACAGCTCATGAAATAGTTATGAAAGCTAGTCATGATTGCAACACAGAAAGTACCACAAACGATTTGCACACACCCAAGGCACCACTAACAAACCAAGGTAATTACCTGTTCATTAATTTTAGCAATGCAGATTTGAGGCATAAATATTAGTTAGGATACCTTTGGAGAGCTCCCCTACTCTTCAAATAGTTTTGTGAGCTTATACCTGAAATGATCTTGGTTTAACATGTCACAGAGAGGATAGTGCCTTCAACAGTGCAGCACTCATGGTATTGGAGTGTCAGCATTGATTTTATTCACAAACCTTTAGATTGGAACTAGAATGCATAACCTTCTGGCTTAGAAAAAGCCTTAGAAATAGAGCCAGGGCTGATGACACAGTATGCTATTTTCCTGCTCTGTAGTGGATTTGAATACAAACCATGTTCGACTATTTGGGTGGCACTTGTTAAATGCACTCTCTGCAAATTATTTATGTTGTATGCTTGAAGAAGATTGTTACAACTCCTGAGCTGGTGCATTGTTAATATTTCAGCATATGCCTTGACAGAAAGAGAGAGTCAGCTGGTTTTTGTACAATACATTGCTGATGTATTCCAGGGGGTAGAGGTGCTATTTTGAATTAATTGCTTTCAGTAGGAAATTTCTTTGCATTGCTTGAAATGATATAGGCAGCACTTCACAAACTTTCTAACAATTGTGCATTCATTAATCCTTTTAGACGCCTTATGTCAAAAGTGAAAATACTTAGAGCTACCATTGAAACAAAAATCCTTTTAAGTATTGAAATTTCAAATATTTTAATGCTCAAATCAACTTAATGCCTGTCAATAAAATACAAGTAGCTACTCCATCACAGGAATTATGTAAAATATCCTCTTTAATTTATTTCTGATAAAATCACTTTGTATACTTTGAAAGCAATCTAATATGTTTTTCAGGCTCAGAGCTATTTTTACCTGAATTAAAATCCTGGTTACTAGTATTCCCTTACAGTTTTAAATTGCCTGAAGTATTCTAGAAATAATCTCCAGTTATATTCCTCCATTAAGCTTCTAAGGATCAGCTCTATAGTATTTTCCTCACTTAAAATTAGAGTTTAAATTAGTCTATCAAATGACAAGGTGTTCACAAAAGATGATCAGCCCAATAAACTTGTGTTGATGTTGATCCTCCAAACAAACAGTATTTCTAATCATATGTCCATCCAGTTTATTTTTTTCATTTGGTTAGACTAACTACCCATCCCTAATTTTCCTTGAGAAGATGATGATGAGCTGTCTTCTTAATCACTGCAGCCCTTGAGCTACAGGTGCATCCAATGCTGTTAGGAAGGAAATCCCAGGATTTTAACACCGACTGTGAAGGAACAGGGCTATAATTCCAAGTGTGGATGATGAGTGACTTGGAGGGGTGTTGCAGGTGGAGGTGCTCCCATACATCTACTGCCCTTGTCCTTCTAGGTGGTGGTGGTTGTAGGTTTAGGAGGTCAATGAAGCCTTAGTGAGTTGGTACTGTGAATCTTCTAATGGTGAAAGCTGTTGCCACAGTGTGCTGAATATGGTGCTAGTCAAGTAGGCTGTTTTGTCCTGGATGCTTCAAGCCTCGAGTGCTTTTAGAGAGGCAACCACCCAGGCAAGAGGGGAATATTTTATCACACTCCTGATTTATGCCTAATGGAAGATGAGTAAGCATCAGGAGACAGGAGGTGAGTTACCTGCCACAGAATTCCTAGCCTCTGACCTGCTGTTGTAGCCACAGTATGTATATGGTTGGCCCATTCCAGTTTATGGTCAATGGTAGCCCCCAGGATGTTGAAAGTGGGGATTTCAGTGAGAGAAATGTCTTGAAGATGAAGAGAGATAGTTTGCTTCTTCTTTGTTGGAAATTGTCATTACCCAGCACTTGTGTGGCGTAAATGTTACTTGCTACTTACCAGACCAAGAATACAATTTGTCCAAATCTTCCTGAATATGGACATGGACTGCTTCAGTATCTAAGGACTTCAGAATGGTGTTGAACATGTGATATTATCATAAAACATCTTGATTTCTGACCCAACGATGGAGGGAAGGTCATTGGTAAAGATAGTTGGGCCTAGGACACTAGTCTGAGGAATATCTGCAGAGGTGTCCTGGAGCTGAGATAACAGATCTCCAGCAACTACCAGCTTCTTCCTCTGTACTATAAATTACTCCAATTAATGAGAGTCTTCCCCTTACTTCCCATTGATTCTTTTTTGGCTGGGCTCCTTGGTGCCAAATTTGTTTGAATGCTCCTTGATGTTAAGGGCAGTCTTTCTCTCCCCTTCCCTCTGGATTCTATCTATTTTTTTCTGCATTTTGACTAAGACAACAGTGAGGTCAGGAGCTGAGTTGTGAGGCTGAAATCCAAACTGAGTATCAGTAAGCAAGACAAGGGCACACAATGTACTCTGTTTAGGGGATACTGATATCCATCACCAAAATTAGCTCAAGAGCACCACTACTGACCAATCTGGCCAAGTGCTAAACACATTACGTCTAGTCAGAGTCTGCAGCAAGTGGTGAGGAAACAATACACATGACCTTGTCCTTGATCAATTCCCTTCTGACCGTATATTATAGCATAGCCAACTCTGCTGGGCCTGTTCTACCAGTGGGATAACTGCTGTTCTCTATGACTTTATCTCACTACCCATCACTGATACCAGCTGAGAAACATTGCTTCCTCATCTAAATGCCAGCCAAAAGGTAAGCTTGGCATTCTTCTTTGCCTTGTCATCTGCTACTGATAATGGGCACCATTCCTTTGTCTCAGGCTCCAAATACTAACCTTTTGCTCATCTTCAAGGCCTTCTTAAGAGAAAATCCATTTCAATCAGAATGGCTTTTCTGCAGTAAGTGATCCCTCTATAGCAAACACCCCAATGTTTATAAGCTGGCAGTGGTGACTTCCATCTTGGGAGGGGGTGGGGGCAGCGGGTGGATCAAGATCTCTTTGCATATAATTATAATCTGTAAATCAGAGGGAATAAATCTGTTGTTCAATAGTTTATAATACATGGAATCTTAAAGCACAGAAAGAGACCATTCAGCATATCATACCTGTGCCAGCTCTTTAAAACAGCCATCTAATTAGTGCCACTTGGCATGGAGAGGTGATGGCCTAGTGGTATCATTACCAGACTATTGATCCTGGTAATGTTCAGGGGACCTTGGTTCAAATCTGAAATAACTCCAGAGCGGTTGGTATCCTGTCGTTGAGTCATCCCTTATTTATATGTGTAAAGTCCTTGACACTGATCTAGATCCCTCAGATCCAGTTCTCAAATTGAGCAGAACCTCTGAGACTCCTCTTATCTGTCAGCCAGGGCTCCCTGATTGGACCAGACTAACAGCCCCAGCCAGCGAACTTATATTCTATGATATCCACTTGGCTGACCTTGTTACAATCACTGCATAATCCTGCCGTGGCAGACAGTGAAATTTAAATCCAATAATAAAATAATAATCAGGAATGAAAAGTCAAATGATGACTATGAATCCATTGCTGATTGTCAGAGAAAATCCCATTTTTTTTCACTAGTGTCCTTCAGGGAAGGAAGCTGCCATCCTTAACTGGTCTGGCCTACATGTTACTCCACACCACAGCAATGTGGTTGACTCTTAACTGCCCTCTGAGAATTTAGGCTGGGTAATGAATGCTGGCCCAGCTAGCCACATGCACATTTGCAGTTCTGAGGAAGAGTCACCGGACCCGAAACGTTAACTCTGTTTTTTCCTTTACAGATGCTGCCAGACCTGCTGAGATTTTCCGGCAACTTTGTTTTTGAGCCACATACACATCCTGTGAATGAACTAAAAATAAATTCCCCCATCCTTCTGCTTCTGTAATTCCAGATCAAGGATATTATAATTCCCTTTTGATTATAGTTCCTTTTGAAAGTTACTACTGAATCTCTTTTTCTCATCTTTTCAGCCAGTTCCTTCCGCATCATAACACTTCAATGAGTAAACTTGCCAGTGGAAACAATTTTTCCTTCCTCACTAATGAAGTCCCTCATAGTTTTAAAATGTTTTGATTAAATATTTCCCCGATCTTCCCCATTCTAAGAAGAACAATCCCAGTTTCTCTCGTCTCCTCACATGAATCAAGTCCCTTGTAACTGGTATAATTTGAGTAGCTCCTCTCCAGCGTCATCAAGGCTCTTATAGCTTTCCTAAAATGTATTACCCGGAATTAGCCCCAACAGCCCAGCTAGAACTAAGCTCTACACTTTTAAATAAATGTTAATGGTTCAGACAGCCCCTGTAACAAAAAGTAAAGAATGTGAATGGAAACTTATGAACAGAAGCTTATTAAAATTAAATCAAAATGTAGTTACCAGGGATAATGGTGCCCTCCAGGTCCTGGAAACCTCTACTGTGCCAGTGGGCTCTGCAAGCTCCCTCTCAATGGATGGGTACTTTGACCCCTTCCACAGCCCACTGCCTGGATCTGTTGATGGCTACCTGGGCCAGACCCTTGACCATGCTCACGAGGAAGTCTTCCAATTTGCCAGGCACCTCTTCCCCTGCAAAAATGCCCATAGATTAGGGGTAAGCAGATGAAATGCAACTAAATTTTTTAAACTATCCCCTTTAAGAAACTAAATAGGGTCAGCATAAGTAAAACGTTAAGCTGAAAAATGCAGTACCCACCAGACCTCAAAAACAACAAAAGTAGAAATTACTGGAGAAACTCAGCAGGTCTGGCAGGATCTGTGGAGAGAAAGCAGATTTTGACTCCAGTGATCCTTCCTTAGAATCCGAAAACAACACGTGACCTGGCATCTGGTGAACAAGCTCGTGGTTATTGTGTGTGTCTGCCACACGTGACACTCTCCTCCCATGCCCCTGATGAA